TATTGTTGTTATATTTGATATAAATTTCGAATAATTAAATAACAAATGAAATTTTGTTTAATATTTTGTAAAATAATAAGAACATACGAGCTCTTATACTGTGCGAAATTTTTTATAGTTCTATTCAGATTTTTCTTTTTCTTGAGAAAAATAGATCAAATTTAATATACAAGATGTCTGAGGCAAGTCGCATATCCGTTTGTATGCATACAAAAATCGTCAAATTTAATGCAAAAATTCTATACCGTTTTGCAATCAATCACGTAAAATAATTTATATATTTCTGTTTTTTTTACTTGTAAGAACTCGTATTTTTAATGTTCCTAAATTCTCGCCGAGGTCATATTGATTGATGATGTTAGGAACGAAAAAATATATACTAAAAATTCTTACAAAATATATTGAAGTAAAAAGATATATGAATATATACACTGTAATGACATTAGATATAAAAAAAACTCGCGATTAAACAAACAGATTTATAAAGTATTTCAATAAAATTTTTCTTTTGCTCCAATAATCAATAAATAATTATAAACTTAACGTGACAAAATTAAAAGAAAAGTTATATATTATTTTAATTTTATGGTCGATTATTAGAGTAAAAGGAAAATTTTCGGAATGTTTCGCAAATTTGTTTGATCGATCGCAAATGTCATTCTATGAACATGTCTTCTTACTTCAATATATTTTGTAAGAATTTTGAGCATGAATTTTCTTGTTTCTGATCGTTTTCTCGTTTATGAATCAAAAGAGCCACGATGAGAAAAACAGGAGCTTTAAATTGTGCGATAAAAGAATTGATTTATCGATATATTTTGTCCATATGTCTGCTAACGTATGAAACTTTATCATATCAGGATTGGTTCAATAAAATTTTTTTAAAAAGTTAAGTTTAAAATTAATGACGCTTAAATTAACTTACTTAGTAAGTTAATAATAAACTAAGTTAATTAATTAAATTAACTTAGTTTATGTTAAAATTTACAACAAATAAACAAAAACTAACTCAATTAAAATTTAAGTTAACATTAAATTAACTTATTACAATCAAAAGTTTATTATGCAAAGCAATATATATGTTTTTGCATAATTAATTCTTTAATCAAAGATTGAATTTGTTAATTACTAATAAAAAGATAGTCTTTTATAAAAAAATACTGATTGTTTTGTATTTAGGATTCTGTACAAGAAAAAAACGTGGTTATAGAGATAAAAAATCTTCTGTTAATATATTTTATTTTTTTTAGTTTACATTATGAATAGTTTAAATATTAATGGAAGGGGAATTTTATATATACATATATATATATATATATATATATATATATATATATATATATATATATATATTAGCTTATATAAAGAAAGTTAATAAGTTAAAGTTAACATATTTTAAAATAATTAGTTTAAGTAAAACGAGATTTTCATTTTAAATTAATTAATTTCAGTTAAAAGTTATTAACTTTTTAACGTTTTAACCTAATTTTTAATTAATTAACAAATTATTACTCAGCCCTACATCATATCGATTAGAAACGATGTGTTTTTGCAAAAGTGTAATATACACACGTAATATATATATTTTCAGTAGTCTACTTTGAAAAACGAAAACAATTTTATATATCGATTTTAGATCCTGGAAAGATCTGTGGCTTAGGGCTATATGGTCTTAAGGGTATGTTGTTCATGTGTTTTCTTTTTTTTTTAGTAAGGTCGTAATTATGAGTTATTTCAAATAAGTTTTCGTTCATTTATATAAATTTGTCAAAAACATTAAGAGGAACTTGTTAGTATCGATATAAATAATAAACATCCTAGTTTAAAAAAAAAATAATTGAACTTCAAATTAATTCATTCTAAATTTAAAGAAAAATAAATAGAAACGTTTGTAAGTTAGTCTCAATTATGGGTCAACAAATATTTCGCGTCGCTATGACAGGTTATACGATATTCAATTTTATATTAATGTTCGTATTTATTCGGTTTTAGTCTATATAAAATAATGAAGTACAATTTGCTAACAGTTTTATAAAATGAAGCAGTTGCTAAACCACAAATAATATACTATATTTTTCTTAAATATTAACAATTTGTGAAAGTGATTTTGGAATACGATGGTAAAAGAACTAAAAAAAAAATAAAATATAAAAAAATATAAAAAAATATAAAAAATATAAAAAAATAAAAAAAAACTCTATCCTTGTTAATCGTAATGTGTATTTTTAATATATTAATAAACTAAGCTTGATCCGAAATTGAGACTAAACTTTTGATTTTAGGACCGTTACTTCATTTATCTTGAGAGGAATAGTGAGTATAAAATTGCGAAATGACCCTTTTAGAACATAAATATTTTTCTCTGAGTTTCATTAAAATTGGAGTAATATTATAGTTAAGAAATAAAAAAACTGATTTGATAATAACAAGGTAAATTTTCGAGAGCGTTTCGAAATTTTGTATTAATATTTGCCATTGTGAGTGGAGAAAGTTAAACGACATGTTACTAACTAGAATGAAGTTTCTTGCAAGTATATGATATACTGTTTCGGATAATAAAAACGATTAATCTATTAAAATGATTGAAATCGAGCATATAGGAACGAGGTAAAGTTGGCTCATATTTAAGGACTGACAAGAGGGCTATGGAGACATCTCGCGGAAATCCCGGAAATAGTAACCAAGATATATATATTTTATATGCAGTCTTCTTTTTACCTTGCGTTATTGGGTAACTAAACCCAATACCAGACCAAGATGGCCACGTTGCTACACATTCGTATTTTGGTTATTACAAAACAAAATTTACAGTTAACAGGATCGTGGTGGACATTGATGCATAGAAGAAGGTTGCCTCTACCATGCAATTAATCACAACAATTAGTTGTCTGTGAAATTGTAATCTCGAAATCCTAAAATATAGGACATCTAGCCTCAGTTTTTCCTACATGTCGTGTATCTATACAGTAAAATCGAACGATGACCGGCTCGGTAATTCAAGTAAGTACATCATTAATATTGGTTATTACATGAAATTCGATTTCATTGATTATTATAGAAGCAGAATGTATTTCCAAGACATTTGAAACAAATTGCTAATACATTATTATATCGCTTATTGTCAGGTTTATGTTCTGCATCCTGAAAATTGTTTCGAATTCTCATATTTTTCAATTACAGTATATTATTCCCTTATAGAAATATCATACTAAGAATCATTGATAATTACTTATTATCCAATATTTTTAATACTGAAAATAAGTAATTATCAATGATTCTTAGTATGATATTTCTATAAGGGTCGATGGTCGATTTGAATATGATCTCATAATAATTCACAGTATCATACATAAAAAAAAAGTTCTTTCACAGTATGACAAGCGCTCAATTTCTGCAGTTACGCGCCTGTTCGAAAGAGCACGCTGAATAAATAATGTACGAGACGCGTTACAGGAAGGAAGAGATAACGGGACAAAACGCGAAAATAACGAAGACGGCAACTATTTAATGAGCTCTCAGTAGTTGGATCTCACATGAAATATGCAGCGTAAACTCGAAGAGCACGTTTTTCTCGCTTTTTCGTCGGCTCGTTTTTCCGCCTGGTCGCGACTTAAGCGCGTGCATATTCAAGCAGCTTGATCCACGCGAACCAATTGTTCGTGGAAGTATACTCCCCGCGATACATATTTAATGAGGTGGTCTATAGACCTGCGATTAGGATGGTTACCGTTACGAGTTCATCAAATATTCCACCTAGCACGACTGAAAGACAGCGTTCTGCTCGCGCGATTCGATCGCGCATTTCGAGAATATATGAAAATGAAATTTTTATTAGGAATTCGTGTAAGTCTATTACCGCTGCGAGGAGTAGTAAGTATAAAATTGCAAAATGGCCTTTTTAGAACATAAATACTTGTATATTAATTTGCGTTTTTAACTTTACTTGCGTGAGTTTCTTTAAGTTTTGGTCTTTCGTAATAATTGATTTTTGCAACTTTTTTTCTTCCCATTGTATTTTCTGAAGAGGACCCATCGGATCGAAACGTAAACTGATATAACCGATATTGTAATCTTGATTACATTGTAATTTATTGATTGCACTTTTACACCTGTGCCTGGCTCTTAAATGCTCTTTCCTTTTATCTCCTTTTTTGTATTTAATACTTTAGAGCCATTTTTAACTTTTTTTTTACTTTTAATGATAAATACTTTTCTCTGAGTTTCATTAAAACTGGAATAATATTATAATTAAGAAATAGAAAAAAACTGATTTGATAATAGCAAAGTAAATTTTCGAAATTTACGTCTCGAAATTTTGTATTAATATTCGCCATTGTAAATGAAAAAAGTTAAGAGACGTGCTAGAATAAACGTATAATCGATAATCCATGATCTCGCAAGATCCTTCGTGCGGCTGTTTTACCGTTCGCTATTTAGCTTGTCGTTTTATTACATCGTTAAAATTTCGCTTGAAGAAATCCGCTTTCGACATGTTTGACCCTTTGTGAGGATAAAATGGAAAGCGAAGCGGTGTGTCAGGCGAATTCCTTTTTTCCAGGAAAACTATGCTTCGCGGAACGGAAATGGTGCCGATAATGAATGCCCGCGCAATGTTCATGCAAGATTGCATACGAAGGAGCTTTCAAACGAATTGCACACACAATTCAAACGAGTACACGTGTTAACGCATCGTCTAATTTACCAACGTTCTCATATTCGAATCGGGTAAAAGTTTGCAAGCAATGCACTTTCACCGCTTATTTCCGTCAACCTGTGAAGAAAGTCCGATGGAGGGCACCGCGACGGAGAATTGGAGAGTTGGACTAATAGGTGTCATTAATGATTACGTGGTTTGTCGTTACAATGGAGAAAAGGAGAAGATGACAGTTGCCAACTGCGAACTTAGATTCGAATAAAACGAACGACTTCACGCTTTGTCGCGAGGGAGAAAGACACGCATTCATATAAAAGCGCGCTGTGACATTGGAACGTTATTTCGACTTGGAACTTCCCGACATCTTAACAATAATCCGAAGAGTTCAGTGTTACTTCGCGAGATACTGCTTTTTTATTAGAACAAGAGATTTTATATTTTGTGAGAAAAGAAAAGAAGAGAGAGAGAGAGAGAGAGAGAGAGAGAGAGAGAGAGAGAGAGAGAGAGAACAATTTGGTGAATTCTTCACACGACAAATCGAGAAAAATCATTTAAGCTATCATTGAGATTTATGATCTCTCCTGTCGATTTGCTCCGCTAATTACGCCCGTTTATTTCATAAAAAATGTTAATAAACTCAAGAGTGTTTGTGATCATTGCATTAGTAACATGCATCGTGTATGCCCGCACCAATGATGATCGAGATTCTTATAAAGGAATGAGTGATAAAATGTACGGTGGATCTATGTTAACTGAAATAGCAAAAGAACTTGTGCAAAGATCAACGACTGGCAGTCAGGTAATCAAAATTTTATATATGTATAAAGTATATAAAAATTATATATATATATTTATTTATTTATTTATTTATTTATACAGAGTGTCTCGGACTCTCCTTCGCAATTTTTGTGAAAACGTAGAACGGATTGAAGTGAACATAAAAATCCCACACATACTGTTTTGCAATATTCGCAATAAATCTCGAGATATTAATTAAAGAAGATTAGTGAATGATCACGTGCAATGTAATAAACGAGATGTAGTGGTAGTATACTGTTATGTGCTTGTAATTAGGTCAAATTTAATGAAAAAGTCCTTTATTATTTTGCAAATAACAACGTAGATTTTTAATTAATATATTAACTATTATTGTAAATATCATAAAATGGTATAAGACTTTTATGTTCATCTCAATCCGTTTTACGTTTCCACAAAATGTACGGAGGAGAGTCTGGGACACCCTATATATAATATTTGTTTACTTTTTCCCTTAATATTGGTTTATTGCCGTTGATTTGTTTTTCATTATTGCAAAGGGAGAACTTGGAGATAAATATATTTATTATATAAACAAAAATAAACAAAAATTTATTATATAAACAAATATTAATAAAATATTAGTATTTATAAAAATAGTAAAATCTATAGAAGTGTAAAATTTTTGTAGAGTAATTCTAGTAAAAGTTCTCAATTATTTTACTACACAGAAAAACAAAATTAGTCTATAAAACACAACTATGACTTTTTACAGGTACTCAATTTAAATCTATCAAATCTACTACTGATTCTGGTACTCAAAGCGGTTGTGTTTGGCGCTGGCTACCTAGGAAATCATGGCTTCAAAGGTCGCGAACTACAAGACGGTAATTTTAATAACTGTTAATACACGCATCTTGTTAATCATACTATCAGATTTGATTAGAATCAAGTTTAGTTTCTGGGTTTTTTTTAAGTAGTTACAATTAATTGTAAAAATTGATATTTTATAACTTTTAAACATCCTCGGAAGTTTATCAAGAAACAAAACTTACTTTTCTTCTTAAATACAATAAATTAATTATTTTATTTAACTAATATCACGGTAGTATATTATATATTGTAGTATATATTGGAACTTTGAATGTGTGTGTGTGTTTTATAAAATAACAAGAACAACAATAAGAGTAAGATCAATAATCCAATCGAAATTGTATTGAACTTCACAGACGATTGTGACATGTCCAATTCACCACGTACAGCTAGATGATTAAAGACTGTAAAACTTTCCCTCAATGAATTTCGCAATGAACGCATTTCTTATCCATAACACGAGAATGATTTTAATTTATTTCTTTATTTATAAATCAAGCTTCGCTCTAAAAAATTTAACTTGGAACTTTAATTTAGGAAAGCAAAAGAGGTTAATATCGGATAAAAATGTAGTTTGAAAGCTTATTTGGCTACACAATTTTCCAGAATTCCTCATGTGGCGTAAGATGAGGAGTGACGAGCGCGCACACAGCGAAAATTTATTACCGCTCAAGATAGACGGGTACAATATTATATTCATTATGACCATTTCAAAGCACAAAGTTCAAACTTTAATTGAATCCTTTATTAAAAGTTTCTAGCATGTCATGTTTACTCACAACGTTATTTCAAAATGGCCAAAAATGCGTTTTCTCGCATTTTTGACCTCAATTTTTTAAAAAGTTCGACGTGATAGAAAAATTTCGCTTCCGAATTCGTATTCAGCGAACAAAAATCTACGGAAAATGATAATCTCATCCATGTTGTACGTTTAATGTTGATCTATGCAATCGTTTCCATCGAAATATTATACATAGTTATAACGAATAAATATTAATAGCTGGTCAATTAAAAATATTTTTATATCATTATACTAAAAACCACTAGTAACCACTCTGCATACAATTATATATTTATGGCCGCGTTCTGTGTATATCTACGCATTTATCTATAGTTCATATCTGTAGTAGAATACTGTAGAAAATGTGCGTATAATGCGTGAAACGGAACATAGTTTTTCGAAAATAGACAAGTTATACTCTATAATTCTATATAGTAATTCAACAATTAATATATATAACTGCTATATAACCTTCTAGTAACATGTTATTTACATATTATATTAACGTTATATAACTATAATTGATATAAGTATGAAATTACTACTAATGTAGTACATTCGTGTTATATTGCGTGTTATATTTCGTTATATCATGACAACATACAATTATATACCCGTATTTGTTAAGTACATTTCAGTTTCTATTAACTTTTTACTTTTGACTAAAATTTTTAGTTGAAATTCCTACACCAGATTGTTGAACAAACTTAATTTTTATTTAACTTGACTTGATTGCACAGTTAATGCAACTAAATTTACTCAATCCAGAGACTTGGTTCGTTTCACCCGATTTTTTTCAGTGTAATTGTCCGGGTAATACTCGCGAATATAGATATATTAGTATCCAAGTAATATCCATGCACGTAGATACTCGAATGTCAAAATACGTGGATTGTACTGACAGCACCATTATTGATTGTTCCTATCGATCTGGTGGCGATAAAAAACAATGTTAGTGATTATTGTCTTAATAGTGCTATGAATTTCATTTGACTGTCTGACATTTCGGTCATGCTATAAAATGGTAGTTTGATGAATACGAATACAGCTATAATATGAAAGTTGTAATTATAAAAATTTCTTCAATTCCAGAAAACCTCGTATCGGAGGGTGAGGTCGCGCTAGCTCTTGGATATCTGATCGGAGATACCTGTTTATACAGAGCCGCTTGTGAAGAACCATATGTTGCGAGAGAGTATCTCAGAGCGGCGGAAATGCTGTTACAAACCATGAAATTGATGCCGCAGTACGTATGAAAAGTACTCGCATAAAAATATGTACGAAAAGTAAAACGCGCCAGTTTCGAGCAAATTAAGGCTCCTGTGTCCTCGTCACGGCCATCTTGATTAATGATGTCAAAAGAGAGAAAACATATGCCCAATACATCGAAATTAAAGAATGCGACCATAAAATGACACTTATGATTAATTGAATAAAATATAGAGTATCAGTTATAATCAGTTAATAGCTGAAAAATTAGCAACAAAATCATGAGAGAAAGTAAATTATTTATTGATTACACTGTTCGACATTTTGCTCCACGATTGTAAACAGCCGTTTTCAACATATTTTTAATCGCTAACTATAAATCTATTGTCCAAAGTTGGCTATTACATCACAATTCTGAAAAAAATGGGATAAAATTGGACAAAAACAATGATTTTAAGAGATTTCATAACATTGCAGCAGCGACAGCAAATTTTTTCTTAATTTCATTAATAACATAAGAAAGCTTTAACTTTAAGGCTTCTTGTATTTCGCCGGCCATGTCGGACTTGTGATGTCAGAAGAATGACATGCTGATGAAAATTGTGTGCCATTTCTGAATAAAGATATTGCGGTGATGTACAAAGAGCATTAAAATATGTTTCGTTTTGTTTCCGTTATGGAGATAGCAATTTAAAATTAGCCCTTGTCCCATGTTATTTTATGGACATATCCTTTTACTTCAACATACTTTGTAAAAATTTTGAGCATGCTTTTTCTCGCTTCTGACTCGCTTCATCAATCAAGGGTTTCGACAAGAGATCATAAACTTTAAACATTCTATACTACAAAAATATTTTATGTTCTCTCATTCGTCGACAGTGCATAAAATGTTGTTTTCGATAACACATTGCGCGCTGGATAATTTCGACATATATTGCCAGAAAAAAGGTATGAAATAGCGAATATATTAATTTTGTATTTCTGTAGAAGCTTACCTGCAGAACATGGCTATGAGAAGATGATCAGTGAATTCCGGAAGGCAATCGAGTATGGCAGCACCGAACATTGTCCACCGGAATATAGCTGCAAGAAAGAAAATATAAATAATTTCTTCCGAAACGAGAAAAAATAATATAAACTATAATAATGTAAATAATGTAAAAAATAATGTAAACATTAACATTGTCTTCGCGAACCATCAGACTTACATATATTTCTTTCTTCTTTATTAAGCGATAAAAATAGCTATTAAAATAAAATGTTACAAATTTCTTTTTAGAATTATTAATATTAACATTATGATATAGTGATATTACAGTTATTTTTTTGTCTCCAAGATGTTTAAGATCTCTAAGATTAGAGCAGCTATTGAATAAAAATTCTTGTCAGATGCAGCAAGAACTTGCTGAAGAACTTTGTGTAACTCAATAAGCTTTTTCGGCTCGCTTAAAGAAGCTTGGAAGAATACAGAAGGCAGAGTGTTAGATTCCTTATGTCCTCAGCCCCGGAAACAAAGTGACGACAATACACTCTAAATTTCTCGGAGTGAGACTTCACTCCAAGGTAGTGAAAATTACGCCACTCGAAGAGCGAGAACTTCACTCCAAGCAAGCAGTACTTTCACTCGTTCGGAGTGAGTTCTCACTCGTTTGAAGTGAAGTTCTCGCTCTTCGAGTGGCGCAATTTTCACTACCTTGAAGTAAAGTCTCACTCCAAGAAATTTATAACGTATTGTCGTTATTTTATTTTCGGGGTTGAGGACGTAAGGAATCTAACGGTCTGCCTTCTGTATTCTTCCAAGCTTCTTTAACCCTTTGCGGCATACTCATGGCACCTTTCTCTACTCGGTTTTTTATAATTTTTATATATTTTTCAATAAGCCAATATGACTTTAATCACACATTTAAGTTCCTAGTACATGAATTACTATATAACAACCATTAAAATTATGTTATTTGTTAGATAACAATATTTTATTTGTTAGGTAATAGAGTCAGGGGTTTTTGAGGTCACAGAATTCGAACTGGAGGTCAAAAAATGACTTGATTTATATATAACTTTATATTAGAAAGTTTTCTGAGTAGCTGATTACGAATATGTTGACAATTACAAAAATTCAAAATTGCAGTCAAACATGCTGGCAAATAGAAAATCTCTAAGAAATCTCGCTTTTAGCATTTTCAGAACTAACATTTTGGGTCCGCTATTTTGAATTTTGAAAATTTTCAAAATCTGACTTTATATTCGTAATCAGCGACCCCAAAAACCCCTGAATATTCGATTTTCTATGACCGGGATCATTTTTACATTTTCATGTCGGGTCCGCCATTTTGAATTTTGAAAATTTCCAAAATTTGATTCCATATTCGTAATCAGCGATCTCAAAAGCCCCTGTATACAGAGTTTCAAGAAATTTGTATGTAAGGAAAAATGTATGCTTCAAAGAGTTAGGCAAACCGAAAAAGTTTATTGAATTACAAAGTTCTTCAGCAAGTTCTTGCTGCATCTGACAAGAATTTTTGTTCAATAGCTGCTCTAATTCCTCATCCTCAATTTTTTTTGGCATTTCACTAAATTTTGCATCAGTAAGATCAAAATTGCCACTTCGACACTACTTTTTGCATGTTTAATGTGTCACATCTTTACCTAAGGAACAAATTTCGACAGCCTCAGCAGCATCTTTCTTTAATTAGAACGCGAAAAGAATAAATGCCTAATGTGCTCAATTACAATTGATTGAATGTAAACCTAATATGTATCTTCAAAATTGTTGATAATCTAATTGTAACTAGTGATAAACTATAAATGTCTATTACCAAATAAATTTTTTCAAATATAATACATATAAGATATGCTGCTATAAATCAACTAATATCCATACGACACGAACTTAGTTTTTCGAAAATTTTCTGAAAAACATGACAAACAAAAAATGCTTTATTTATTCATAGAAACTATTTATTATATCACTTAAATATTCACTAACTCAGAATGGTACCTTGATAAAACACAAAATGTTTTGAGATTCTTTTGGATATATTCAGAATGTCTTAAGGTACTTCCAAACCTAGACATATTCAGGATGATTTTGTGTACAGAAAATGTTCTATATAAATATTGTTACAAACCTGTTTCAAATATATGTTCACGCTGACTACAGAAAATATAATCATTAAACATTTGTAAGCAATTAAAGAATTATTATCAGAAAATATACAGTCAGAGCATTTGAATATTTTTTCTTCAAAACTAAATTTGAAAAATATTTAACTACTAAAATTTACATCAATATTTTGACAGTCTCAAACAACAAGCATGATGCAAACTATGCCGCGGCAATGAAACAATCATCACGTGTCTATAAACATAGGCTCTCAAAATATCCAACTAAATTAAATATATTTTTTAGCAAATAAGAGTCAAACGCTGACGTTGGAGTGAATATTTTAGTAAATGTTGGGAGGATAATAATGTTTGACAGCTATAGCACATGTGCCATTTACATCACGGTTTTAGTAAGATATATCATACGAGAATAAATTAAAAGTTATATATATATATATATATATATATATATATATATATATATATATATATATATATATATATGACTTATATAATTTATTTAAATTCTATTGCACAATCTGGTAAGGCTGTTGTAAGTTCTTTTCTCAGCAAAGCTTTATCGTCTAAATATGGCATACCAGCTAGTTTCAATGTCTTCAAATTTCTGTAAAATACAAATAAAGTTAAATTATACAATCAATGTACCCCGTGTATAATTATACAATCAACGTGAAATATATACTTCAAGTTTTTCAAGCTGCGTACTCCTTCGTCGGTTACACTCTGACAATCTCTAATTTCGAGAGTGGTTAAAGTATCCTTCACTATTGATAATAATGGTAAGGCGGTGTCAGTTATATAAATACAACGTATAAGTTTTATTTCATCAATATACTTGCAACCATCTGTGAATTTTTGCAAATGTATATATAAGACATATAGAGTACTACAATAATTATCATAATTTGAATATTATTCAAATATCTTTAAAGTATGAGAGTCGGAGAAAAATTTATCTAATAGAAATTATATAATACAGAAGCAGTTGTTTTATGGCAATAACATTTTTTTTTAGGTGTGTGTAGCTCTGAAAATCTGAAGATCACCTTTGCTTTTTCAAATGAAATCAAATAGTTTCTTAAACTGGGTTAAGATTATTGAAAAGCTAATACTTTCTAAGATATTTCGTATTTTATTCTGACAATCTTCAGTATAAGATATGACATAACTAGTATTTAATTACTCTCGTACTTTTATAAAGTGCATTCAAACTAATGTGATATAATCATAAATAGAATCATAAATTAGACTTCATAGTTTTCCTGTTTCTTTTTTTTTTATGCTTTCCAATAAATGTGCCTGTCTTCTTGTACCTTAGATCTTCCTGTTTCTTTTTTTTTTATGCTTTCCAATAAATGTGCCTGTCTTCTTGTACCTTAGATCTTCTAATAAAAACAAAGATCTTGATATTAACAGAAAAAACAAATATATAGTACACGTACACACGTTAGCATTGTAATCTATTTTCAATCAAATATAAACATTTAATAAAGCAAAAAAAACAGAAAAATTATGAAGTCTTTTATTTAATTTTAATTTTATCACATTTAATATATTCTACTTAAATTTAAATGTTTATAACTTTTGATAGAAGCATTTTTCAAAGAAATATTTCAGATAAAATTTATTTATTTTTGTCATAGAATCCAAATATATAACATTTTATAGGAAGTTTCATTTGAAATTACGATATTACTCCCTGCTCCACTTCAAGAGAAAGTGGAGTGAATTTTTATTTACATAGTTAGAAAAATTCTTCAAATACATGAAACTTTCTCATGAACAACTTTTTGATATAACAAATATTCTTAGTTTTTGGATTATCAAACTTTATGTGGTCTATTTTGTAAAACACAATTTCCATCTGATTAATGTCAAATGCTTAGAACAAGTTTTATCCAACAAAAATTCTTCGCACCAATATATATTATTTCAAACTAAATCATTATTTAAATCTATTCTCATTTGTGATACTATTAGCAAATAAATTGTGATAAATTGTGATAAATTTTTTTGTTTGTTACAATACCAACCAAAATGTGGAAATCCTACATCAGTAATACCAGAATCTGTGGCATCTACAGCTTGTATATAATATCGAGTTTCTTCTGTTGACAAACTATTGTAATCACTCAGATATTTTGTGAAACCTTTCCACCGAACACTGGCACCATTTCTCAAAAGCCATTCGGCACAGGCACGGTCTGGACCAACTAACTTAATTCTGTCTTGATCAACTCTAAAAATAAGAGTTATCTTAAAAATTACATATAGTAAACTAGTAATATCACAATCAATATAACAATATATATATAAATATCATTTAATACTTGTTGAATATTATGGTTAGCCAATAGAAGAGTCCTTTGCTGGGAAAATAAAAATTCCTATAATGATTGGTGGTAGCTAGCAGCCTATTTAATTTCTGCAATATCACATTTACATAATATATATAAATATGTAAGTCTGCATTTATACATTACTTCATACTTTTGTTTTAATATAAGAATTAAACACATAATTTAGTTTAGGCTTTTTCAAATGATACACAAAAGATAATATATTATAAAAAGTAACAACAAAAAAAATAACAAGTAACAATATCATACATTTAACATCATTTTGCATTTATTCTTCTTCCTTTTTGGCCTAAAATTCTTATTCCATTAGCCAATAATACTAAAATAATGATAAACTTAGATGTTCTTGTTTACAGTTTCATGTTTATCTTCCTCGTAAACTGTTCTAATATAAAAAATGCTTTGGTGTTGTCCATAAGTCCATAATATGATATCGACTGGCAGAGTTTATGCTTTTTGTATTATGAAACTATACGTAATTTTTTTAGATACGTATAGAAGAACGAGAGGAATCATAAAATGATTTTAGTTGATTCGCGTATGTAAAGCGCTACTACACGACATACATATAAACCACGTATCCAATGTACACGAATTCTCTCTGGAGGTAACAAATAATGTTCACGATATCTTGGTTTTGTTCTGCACTAAATTCTTTCTTCTTTTCCTTTATAGGCTTTTATATATTAGCCTAGACTTGGGTGACATATATATATATATATATATATATATATATATATATATATATATATATATAT